AGCCCTATGCAGGGCATATCTAGGAACTTGGAAAGGGGGGTGCTGGGGTACAGAAATGTGTAAAAATTGCAATTAGGGGCATGCAAAGCATGCCGTGATTTTGACCATGCCCACTTTTTATGGCAGTAAGTGTTTTCCTTCATTTTCGTCAATTGAGTGGGATCAGAGTCAGCCAGGATAATTTCAAGCATACTGGATCACTCGTTAAAGCACTGGAAACTGTTGAAATCATGATCAGGGGGCTATATAACTTTGTTAAGAGGCTTGGTAGTGATGCAAGAGTCCAGAACTTCAGTAATTTTTTCTGAGCCCAGCCATAAGGGGATGCTCAAGGGATGCTCAAGGGATGCTCAAGCACCCTCAGCTAGGGCTAGGCAAATTATGCTTCAATTTTTGCCTATTATGCTTTTAGGCACTGCCCCAAATTTCATCCAATTATGCTCATTATTATGCTCATATAGTTAAGCTTTACTCAAATATCAACTATCAAGTTACATGTACGTGCATTGTTATAATTATATTATTGTAAGAATGCAAATGTTTCAGTGACTCTGAATCACTGCAAAATAGAACAAACTATGTCACTGGATTCACCATGCTTGAGTGGGTGGGTTAAGTAGTTGGGTTGTTGTACTAGTACTGACTTGTACTACCTGCCATATTGAATTGAAATCGTGTGGTCATGCAGGGGTATACTAGTACCAGAAATTTTTGACCCATTATGCTCCCACTATGCCAGCATAATAACTAGCCTTATTATGCTCCAATTTATGCTAGCATAATTTGCCTAGCCCTACCCTCAGCACCTCCTAGATACGCCCCTACCATTAGTTGAATCATTGGCAATTTGGCCCTAATGACAGAATGCAAAAACTAGCTTGATGTCATCATAACTACTGTACTGTCTATACATGTGTAAGTTTATCAACCCTAACAAACAGTAATACACAATGCATAACGTACATCTTTAATCTCGTCTTTAGTCAAAACTGAGCTGTGAAACACCTTTAAATTGTAATTAAGAAGAAGCCAGTAAATGTTGGTCTTAGCACCCTTTAGTGGATCTATCTCTTACCTTTTTATACCAACCAAGGCCTGTAGTTTTGTACAGGACTAGCTGCAGCAACAGGAAGGCAACAATTCCGACTAGAACTATCTTCGTCCTACCAGTTAACACCGACATTTTGTGCTCCACAAGTCGCAGGCTCGCCGCACTAATTACTGGGCGTGGCTAGTTATAAAACTTAGTTATTATATTAAACAATAGTAAAACAGCAGCTGCTTTAATGAGTGACAGAGCCAG